CCGGGGATAGTGACTAAGTATTTCGAATAAATATTTACCTATGTAGCAGATGTGACCTAGTACTATGGTTTACAAATGCTTGAATAAGTACGAGGTTTAAGAGTGTAAATAATAAATAGCTTTTGATATCAGATACTAAGACGCCTTTTTATAAAATATCAAAGCTACAGCTGTTACAGCTCTCCATAAACTATACTTAGTTCTACTTTAGACATATATTTTATTTCCTCCAAAATGTTAGCAAGAGTTGCTATAACAAAAATAAAATAGATAATAAAACTTGTGGTTGCCTGGATATGGTCCACTCTTATATTTTAGGAATCTACGTCCTCATAAAATTATGCGTCTACATAATAATATATTAATAAAAATAATAATTGATAAAATTAAGTATAGCTTAATATACCTCTTAAATGATTTTGTGTAATACTCGTTACCCGTGAAATCGTCTGCTTTTTTAAGATAAAAATAAGCTATGTAAATGTCACGATACAATCTATCTTGAGACAAAAATTAATTAAGATCCGTCTGCCATTTAGCTATGAAAAGGTAACAAACAGACAGATCGCCAGATATACGGACAGACATACTTACAAAATTATAATATTAGTATGGATTGTTGGTATATAGTGTAACAATGTATTATAGATAAGTGTTAACATTCTCAAAAATATCTAAGTAGTGAGTTGGGAATTAGATGCCAAACCCATAATCCCAAACCCATAATCATCCAGATGTACGCTAAACGACATTCAGGAATATAAATATTTTATGTAAATATTAAAACAAGCTTCGAACACGTCATCATTAATTTCGGAACACATTTTATTTTCTTATACACCAAACTACGGCTAAATTTAGTTAAGAGAATTCTTAAATTGACCTTCAATTAAATATAGCATGTTGAGTGATAAACATGAAGTTATTTTTATCTCAAGAATACAAACTGGTTTTAAAATTCGTGCAATTTTTTTTGTGATAGATATGTATATAGATGTGATAGATATATTAATGCAATACTTATTATACATAAGAAAACAGGCTTCTGCTCTGTGGGAAACTAAATTTAAATATACTTACATACAGTCCATCGCGCTAGTGTCGGATGAAGGATATTATATTTAAACAGTAATATCTAATTACCCGTATAATGACACTTTTGTGTACAGTGTTTTTATATGTTACAAAATAGACAATTTCTATTTCATTTCAAAATCGAAACTCAAAGCAGGCAGTAGTAGATTTTCGGTCATATTTTATATGTATATGATGCACAATCTATTCGTAGCTTAATTCAGCACCGATATCAATAAATGTACCTACTTCATAGTATTACGTTATTCTTAAACGTGTCTTTAACTTCATCTAAGTATGTGGTGGTGTTGGTAACTCATAAGAGATTTATGAAATGATAGTTGAAGTACAATAATAATTTTATATTAAGATATCTAGTTAATATAACTATATAACTAACTATATAATCAAAACAAAGAATAGTTCGTTTACATTATACAATATTAAAATTTAAATGATAAATAAAGAACCTACTTATAACAAAGTTACAACCTAATTATTTAACAAACGTTGTGTTGTAAGTACCTAGTCAATTTATAACTAAAATGTACATAGATATATATTTGTACCAATACAAATCTAAGTACATGTATATGTAAATGCCAAAAATATAATAAGCAATATACATAATACCTATAAAAAATCACAAATGTAAATCTTTAAAATTATCTTTTTTGTACACTAATCACGTGTTGTCAGGGGAGACGGACGCTGCGGCCAATGCACTTACCTTGAAAAAGACTTACGGAAGAAGTCGAAATAATTGTCACGAAAGAAGTAATAAAAATATAAAACGACAGGTATCGTCTTCCTTTTATCGTATATTCTTTTCTTATTACCGATTCTTTATTCTTTGCACAATAGGGAAAATATTAAAATACAAAAAGAATTACATTCATAAACGGCTGAAATGTCCTACATGAATAAATGATTTTTAATTTTAATTTACTTATTTGAAACTCCAAAATTAAGAATAACTTATATATAAACCTACTGAAACCTAATTAATTCCCTCTCTTTACTTTGATGAAATCTCTCATGGAGATCCACTAAAACTGCGGAACGCGGGGGGTTATGTGAGTCTCCTACTCACTAAACTAAAAATCCTAAGGTAACTATTGCTGGTATGAAGATGCTTATTGCTGGAATCGTGAGGGCACGTTAGTTTTCGTCTGTTTGCAGGTACGAGTATGTATGGTTCTCGGTATCATTTCAAATCTCAGCAGGTTGTATTTTAATTTCCGTTTAAATATTGGAATGGATTCAATGTACTGCCAAGGTACCAATTGAGGTTAGATTAAAAATACCTCTATATAGGTATTAGTATAAAAAAAGACTACAAAACCTTACTGATACAGAAGTTAAGTACTCAATTTCCGGTGGTCGCGGGCTGAATCTCCACGTAATACAAATATTTGTATTTAACATTATGCCAGTTTGTATTAATCTGTGTATTTATCTATATTATATTTCACATACTTTTAAAAATAATACAAATAATATATAATTACGTAGTAAGTACAGTAAAAATAGACTCACTGTATAATGTATAATACTCTCACTCCAGATTACTCTGAATACTAATAAGAAAAAACATCTAAGTATACGCATGGCTTGTAGGCAATTTTTTTCTTTTCTGAAAAGAGACTTCTTTTCAACATAACTTATAACAGTTTGCCATCACATGATTGTTTATTCAAATATTTGTTTATTTACAAACAATAGCATACTATTTTTGTCCTTTCGTTCTTATAAATGTCTTGTAAGAAATATAAATAATGAGTTGAGGGATATAAAATAACTCGTATTTAAATCATTAGTTATTAAATTAACTTGTGAAATGACGCAAGCGGGTGTTACTTATTCTTTTTAATTATTTATATGACGCACATGGGCCGTGTATTTTAACCACCCTCTCACTAGTTAGTTATTATTTTTTATTTATTGTTATCAGGCCACTTTAATAGAAACATACCTAGTAGTCTGTTACAAATCTTTTTTATTTAAATAAGTACATCGGATATTAATTTATTAGTCGAATAATTGTATACTAATAATATATTTATAGGCAATTGAAAAAATATTGTCGACTTGCAAATAATTCAACACGAGTCTATGTAAACAAAGGCTCTCTATCTCTATATTTTAATTTACTCATACAAGACATTTTTAAATACCACATAGCTAATAAGTAAATAAACAATTATTATCAATTATTCTAGAATACATAATTGCATACAAGACGAAACCATTTAATTTAATGCATAAGGTATTGGTCAAGTCATTCTAGTACTTGTCGATCCTGTAAGATTTTATTCAAAGAATGGTTTCGCGTTTGTTTTTCTGATATCTGGTAATAACAAGTGGAAATAACGGTAAACTAGGCCTTAGCTTTACACTTAAAATAAAGCACAAGGACACCAACAAACGAACTAAAATATGTTTATTCAAGTATTCCACTATGTATCGTTTCCATGAATGCTTTGAAGGAATCATTCGACATTGATCTCCAGTTATCTCTTTTGTTTTCATTTATCCGAACTTTTTTGTGTAACAATTTTATTTATATTTAAATTTTCTGAATAATAAATAATAATTTAATTGTTACTATTCCTATAATTTGTATTTTTTCTATTAATCATCAACAGAAACTTTTTTAAAGAATAACAATATTATGAAAAGACAAGTTGTAAAAAAGAAGGTACAAATAATAACCATACCAGTGTATTTTGAAGAATTTATAAGATTTTCCAATGCTAAGCTAATAAGTATAGCATTGGAAAATCTCATAAGTTTATGTTAAATCTAAATACATTAAGACAATACGCAAATATTTAATAATACACGAGAAGAACATTTTTCATTTGCATTTGTAGTCATTTGTGTTAATATTATCCAGAACATCTGTAGGTCTAGGTAATCAGCTATGCGCTCGTCATAACTGAGTTAGTATTAACGTTGTTCACACTATTTCTGTATTTACATACACTGGTTGGTAAGGTTAGTAATATAATATTAAGAAACGTAAAATGTACTTTATAGTAACATATGATTTCGGCCTGGACCTTGTAAAGAATATTTTATATTGGTCCAATGCTTAATATTAAAAATTAAAGCCTAACATCATTACCCCGAAATTCTCTATATGTTTCTAGCGACGAATATACATACACATAATTAAAATGACTAAAAATAGATATATAAATATAATAACATAATTTTTTATTGTTAACTCATGTAGTGTTGATATTCCAAATGCTGCCAACTGAATATAGAAATAATAAAAAAATAAATGCTAACGATTATAACAAATATGTTTTACAACGTTAAACATGTTTTTATGACAATGCCAAATTTATTCAAACTTCGTTCTGATTTATTTTCATATTTTTCAATAATTACGCCAAACGTCATTTCAATAAATGAAACTTACGATGTGACATTGAAAAAAGTTTTGTCTTTGTTTTACTAGGTTTTAATAGGTTTTTTTAAACTTTGAAAACGCAACCAGCTATGAGTTCGTATTTCAAAATTTTAGTGTAGTAGTCCAACTGATAGCATTTTAGATTTCAAATAAAAATTGTCTATGTTATATTGATATGAAAATAAAGTATTAAAAAAATAACGTCCGAAATACAAAATCCTTAAAAAAAATTATGACATGTTTTGCAGACGAGCTTAATTAATTTTTTCTATTTTATAAAATTTCATTGCAAAGCTTTCATGAAATGTGTGTTGTTTTATAAAATTGTCAATTGCGAGGTAGGTACTGAGAATTTAATGTTTATTTTTTCAATCTTCAATAAATATGATGTGTAGTTTTATTAATTGTTACATGTAAGTAATCATGTTCAATTGTGACGCAGGTGTGATGTGATGTATGTATATAGGAGGTTGCGCGAGAGTTATACGGATAGTCGCGTTCACACCGTCGCAGTTTCGATACATATTAAGTAGAACAACTTTTATTGACAATAATATACATATTTTTTTTAAATGTAGTTTTCCGATCCTTGTGTGCTGGCTGATTTCTACTAAAGGTAGGAAACGGTGTTTTTTATAATATATATTTTTGTGTCTCGCGGTTTTAAGTGACGTTTATTGTGTATTTATATTTTTATGGAAACAAATTATTTTATTTTAGGTATGTAAATATATTGTAAATTTTATTTATTAATTTTATATTATTTTATTTATTTATTTTATAGTAGTTATCTAAATATTATTTTAATTTTATATCTTTAAATATTAATGTTACCTTTTTTCTGTCTATCCCGTAAGTTTCGATAAAATTTTATAGTACATAATTAATATATACCTACAAACTAATTAATTTGATATTTTGAAATAAACTTCAAACATTAAATCTACATGTAACAATTTCAACATAAATAATAGCAATATTTTTATTTAGTTTTAAATCACTAATCAGTCTTTATAGATAAAATATCGAATATTTTTAATAACGCATTTTTTTATATCCCCCATAGGTATAAAATTTTGCAACATAATCGTAGCAATAATGGTGATGACAACTAGGCCACTCGAACCGAACTATTGGTGTATTGTGAAATGCTGTCGAAGCAGCATACACGGGTAGCTGATCAACGAAACTTTAGTTACAAATTCGCTAATGATTTTCCATTAACCTTGTTGTATAAGGCATTTAGTAATCGTTTGGTAAACCTATCGCTTTTATTCGACGATACATTAATTAATGCAATAAATAATAATTTATGATTAACATAAATAACATATTCACTATCAAATTTTCGGCGACGGCAGCGTATAGAAACATCTATAACTATAAATACTAATAGTAATAGATATTTTTCTTTAAATATATATCTATTAGATTAAAAAATATTGAATATTGAATAGGTATGTCTTTTTTATTAACAATAAATATTTTTAAAGCTATACTGATAGAAATAGTTAATTACAAGATATTGTCAATTAATTTTAATTCTCTTTTACTCCAAAAATTTACATTTAATTATATCTATTTTGTCATTGTAAAAAGCCTTTAATAAATATATTAAATAATTATTAATAATAATAATAATTCTTTATAATTTATAACTTCAGGACGTATAAATTACAAAAACGGTATGAAGTTATTCTTATAAATGTCTATTATATATTACAATAGAATAACGGGACTTATTCTTAATATAAACTCGATAAATATAAGATTAAAGTTCTCTGTCTCATATTAGTTCAACATATTCCCATACTAGCAACCCGCCCCGGCTTCGCACGGGCCCAATATTTGTTTACGCATTTATATATGGATAACGATTTAAATCATATTTATAAAAATACCTTCACAAATAACGCATTTTTTAGAAGAAATATGATTACCATTAAAAAATTTAGTGGGTTAATCGTATACGGTTACGAACTTTTTTTTCGAACTTTTAAAAGAGAACAACTTCGTCATAAAATTTTTTGCGTAACTTTAACAGTTTACACAGCGCACGCACTCTAAATTAATATTTTTTCATTGCTGCTATTGGTCGTAACATGATGTTATAAATTACTGCAACTCTCAGAGATAATTTGCCTTCCTAATACTGAAAGAATTTTCAAACTGGATTAGCAGGACCGGAGACTACCCCTAAACAAACAAACATACAACATTTACCTGTTTATAATATTGGTATAGACAGTATATTAAAAATATTTTAACCAAATATTCATGTGTTTATCTGTTACTATGTACATCAAAATTAAATTAAGCTTATTAGATATGCTCCGTCCGTGCACTAAACTTTATTCAAAACTGTGCAGCCGTTTAAGCATCATTCATGAGAACAAAGCTATATTGTATGTAAATATAGCTTTGTTCTCCTAATTTCTTAGAGATTTTATCTTGTGTTTTAATTCAGAACAATATATTTACACCCTAACGATTGAGTGATGCTACATAGAGCATTAGGAATCATAGAACGTCGTGGTCTCGTCATTCATTATCCGAGTTTTACCTTAAATGTGCTCAGTTTAAATGTGGCTGACACCAAAAGAAACTTTGCTTGTCAATTTATACTATTTTTTCTATCAATCTCTTCTCATCAATCAATTCTCTACTACGTTGGATTTCATTTCATTAGATACTGTGAGAGAAGTTACGAAAAAACTTCTGACGTTATCAAAACACAGAATATAGTGATAAAGAAATGTGATCAGTGTCTGAAAAATCTAATACAAAAGCACATTGTACTTAGATATTCATAGGCTTTAGTAAGCATAATAGGTTACTAAAATTGTTTGTTTCGGCAACGTGTCATGTCAATTGCATTATGTGGCTACCTATACATACATTTCTTTGTCAGCTATTTAGAGTGCTCCACTTATTGCATTATAACTTTGTGACATAGTTTTAAACCAGTGTAGGTAGGTACAGTCACGTTGAATAATATATATTACGCTTCCGTACCTTGTTACATTAATCACTTTATTAACTGATTTCAAAATGTTTTGGAATCACATGTTACGTCACTGTAACAATGTCACAGTCGTATAATATTTGCATATTATTTCATCATGTGATCGATTCATATGTTTACTTACACCTTTCTGTGTTTGTAAAATAAAATTCCCATTAATTTTGAGAAGGGTTTTTATTCATCTGTATTACTGTTGTGTATTTTGTGAATTGGTTAAGTTGAATTCGCGAAGACAACTTCGCTAATTCTACGCCGATTTAATTATTCTGGCGTTTTATCAATATAGTAAAAGTTAACCATTTAAAGTACAAAAAAAGATCATAATTAATGCAGAATTAAGGTAGTCATATCATATGACTTAAAAGTACCGTCTTGTCAAGGAAGGTTTTCATCAGTCATTTGTAGTCTTATTAATTAACTCTTGTTACATAAGATTTATTTTGGTAACATTTGGTAGCTGCTTATAGAACATATAGTTATCTAAAATTAACAGCGTAGTCAAAATAGTTGTTATTCAACTAGATTAATGATCATATTAGCACGTTTTATGTAGTAACAGTAACCAGTTTGTGGTTCAATAACATATAAGTTATGTAATTATAAACACATTTATTAATCTCTACCAATATGCATAGTAGTGAGAAGTTGGTCTTAGGTCGAGGTCACAGGTTATATTTTGCATTTTGTTACTTTCCCTTTTAAAACTAATGTTACTACTACTACTACTATTCCATACTAACTTGTGTTTGATATGTAATAAATATAACTTCCAAATTACTATAAATAAAAAATTAATTAAGTAAAAATAAATAAAATAAATTAAAATTTAACACTTTAGTTAAGTTTTAGTATTGTTTTATTTTTAAGCCAGCGAGGCAGCTATCCGAAAGATTCTACCGACCTTTCGGATAGTTGTCTCATCCTGTTGCTCTTTTAAACAAATGTTGTAACTTCACATTTGTAAATACAAACTATCAAATATCACGAAAGAGAGAATGGAAGCAAATTTGGTTATGAGGAAAATAAACTCCAAAACCATTGCATCTATTTAAGAAATTCTTCATAGGTTATGTTAATATATACAGCTCACACGAAGTTATGAACATCCGAGCGAAGCTACTACTACCCAGGATTTTGTTCACTGTTTTGAGATATCAGATTGCCTATTGTTCTCATATAATCTATACATTGTATTGACATCAAAATACATTACAATGTTCCGCCATTTAGTCGGCAAATTATTAAAAAAACAGAATGTTACAAATTCAAATTTCAGTATTGAAATATGGATATAATATGAGCGAAATATGGCCCGTATTTTACGCGGATAGAATCGCCGCACAGAGCTTGTTCATAAATATAGCTTAAATGATGTTATTCAACACATTTCGCAATACTGCACATATCATTTAGCAGAAACATTAGAAACTATGTAAGCTATTCTTCATTCACAAGGTTTAGATTACGAAGCATTCTCTACGTTAGGCAGTCACACGCAAGTGCATACGTTGCGTGATTTAACACTATGCAAGCAGTGAAATGCACATAAACCTTTTGAATAGAATAGTTCAAAGGAACGCTTGCAATGTACACGAAATAGTAAAATTGCAAAGTTTACAATAGGGTAGTTAATATAAAATAAAATTTACATAATTCACTTCCTTTCATTAGTTGTACGTCATAATATATATAACATTTTCTAAGCTCTACTGGCTGTTACCTGCGACTTTAACATAACATAATGAACTAGGCATCCCTATTCAGATAAAAGATAAAACGTGTGATACAAACTTCAAATTTTATTAAGATCCGTTCACTTATAGTAATTATATACTTATTATATTTTTATAGGAGTATTAGGTTTTTATAAATACGGAGATTTATCTTTGCGTACATAAGAAATGTAACTTCATTTAGTTGCTTGATGTTTTGAGTTATGTGTTATGCGTTTTTGAACAAATCTTTACCTGAGATGGTGTTGAATTCCTCGAACGGTATAAAAATTTGTACTTATGAGTATGATTGATTGAATCTGTCTGTCTGATTTCTATGTATATAAAAAAATACACTAACACATGCATTGCTTACTTGGGGACTAAGTAGGATTAAGTGAATTGTCCAGATATATTATTATTATTACTTTCATAACTTGTCTTTACATAATGACAATTAGGACTCTTTTCTTGTTTCGACTCATTTGATATTCATAACTATGTATATATAAAGGTTGAGATTTGATCATGAATCTACCAGTTATTACAGGCCCACATAGAATTAATAAGGTCATTAATTCAGCTAGGCACCTATTAGTATAGTATATTTTATAATAATGAATGTGCCAGGAATATTTATTGCGTCATCTACATTATAGCTACTATTATAATATACATATCAAATTCCTACATTCAAGTATTGCATGTTAACTTATCGAATAAAGCAAAGTAATGACTTTTAAGTTTGAAATGGAAACTGAGGTAGAAAACATAAAACAGAAATATGAAGCACTTTTAGATTGCTTAGTTTGTTAAAATACATATTCATACGTTTATCGTTAGTCTTACCTTTCATTTTTATTTATACTTGTACCGTAAATGTTTAGGTACATTATACCAACGACTTTCTTAAACAAGTAAGGGATAAATAGTAATAATAATTAATGTGAAAATATTAATTATTTTTATTTTATATAAATGTAATTCCTACAGTTATCTCATAATATTTTTAAATAGCAATGTTTACAACTAATCATATATTTTTTATTCTCCGCAGTAAAATTAGACTTCACAACAAAATTGTGCTCTAATAACATTTTGCTTTTTAAGTATTTTTATATTCGAGTAACTTTTATTAAAAAAAAAAAAATATCGCTGAAATCGTACAGCCACACTGATTCTTTGTTTAAGTAATCAAGTTATTATTACTTATAGGAGTAATTGTTTACAGATAAACGTCACTTTTATTAAGAAGATGAGTTACGCTGCTGAAAACGTTGTGCTCTCCAGCACGTGGTCGGCCACCAGTCTGTTCTATGCTCTGTTGCTGCCGGCTATAATACTTTGGTATACGTATTGGAGAATATCTAGACGAAGGTTCTATGAATTAGCCGCAAAATTAGATGGTCCTCCAGGCTTGCCTATTGTTGGAAATGCGTTAGAATTTACAGGCGGATCTGCTGGTAAGTTTTCTTAACAATTTAATTATATAATTGTCTCCCTGCAACGTACTGAAATAATCTATATACTTATACATTTTATTTATTTTTTAAAAGTTTCTACATCTATCAATATTTCCGCATAAACTTCAATACTTCAAAAGTTGAAAAGTATTAATCGTACGTTGTAAACTATGTTTATATTTTGTTTCATTATTTCTATTAAATGACTCTTCATTTCAATTAATAAAGAACTATCAATTAACTTATCAACTTAATATTTTTATTTAACTACTCATAATACCTGCTGGTATTTTAAAAACATGAGTCTGCTTATTTTGTTACCTTTTGGCGCCTCAACAGCTAAACCAATTGTCTTTTGGTCGGCTAACACAGTTTGCCAAATTTGGTATACACGTACTATTTAGGTTAGTGAAGGACAAAGCCTACTTTTTACCCTGGGTATTTAATTTGTCCTGGTCACATGTGTGTACATGTCGCGTCGCAAAAAGTAGTAGCATAAAATATAATAAACATACTTTATTTCTTTCAGATATTTTCAGAAAACTTCTTACAAAGAGTTTCGCTTTTGATGATAAGGGGATAGTGAAGATATGGATTGGACCTAGATTGATAGTGTTTATTTATGACCCTCGTGACGTGGAAGTGATCTTAAGCAGCCATGTCCACATTGATAAAGCAGATGATTATAAATTCTTCAAACCATGGCTTGGAGATGGTCTGCTAATAAGTACAGGTAAGTGTATTACTTTTCAAATGGAATAGGGACTCATTATTATTTATCTACAAATTTTCTATATTCAACTGGAAAAATAAACACACTGATGGCTCATCTAATCTATCTATCAACTAACTAATACACCGTAACTTTCAATGTCAATATTTCATTCTTTACAACTAGCAATTTGTATAAACTTTTATGGGCTTTAATATATGCGTATACTAACAATCAATCAATCGACTTCTTAAGAAGTCGAAGCAACTACTCAAATAGTTTTTTTTTTATATAGAAATTTTGATCAAATTTAGTTACTCTTGTGTAGGCGTGTGTTTTTAAGAGAAATTCAAAGAGAAATTTTCTCTTTGAATTTCTCCTAAAACATAGGGTTTTATTTGTCTAGTAGGATTTTAAGATATTGAAATATACTCATGTTTTGCATATTTGTAATACAATTGTAACTGTAACATATTCATAACATTCCACACACATAAAATACAAGATGTGTATGTTTTCATTGAAACTCGTGTGGGACATTAATGTTGTAACTATTAATGTAATAATATTAATATGTATGTGTCATATTGTAGTATATTTAACATTTATTTCTCATATACCTATATTTAAATATACATATATGTATAATTATTACTGTTGACTTCTAGGTCAGAAATGGCGTTCTCACCGTAAACTGATTGCTCCTACTTTCCACTTAAATGTTCTGAAGAGTTTCATCGATCTATTTAATGCAAACTCTAGAGCAGTTGTAGATAGACTAAAGAAAGAAACTGGTGCCTTCGACTGTCACGATTACATGAGTGAATGTACAGTAGAAATCTTATTAGGTAAGTGTTTATGTACTAATATTTGAAATAATTATCATTTCCCATATGCACCTTTAGTTTTGATGTTATGGCCTGAGTAAGTAGTGTTTAATATTTTTTTAAATAAAGTACAGTTTATAAAACTGAGATGGTTTGTAGGTTGACCCAGAAATTTCTTAGCTTTATTTGAAAACCAAAATAGTATTTAAAACAAAATTAAAAAAGGAAAAGCTATGGAGTTTCTTCCGTTTTCTAAGCAGTATTTAAGGAATATTGTCTAATAACTATTAACTAAAGATAAAACAAAATCACATAAAGTAGTTGGCTCATTATATAGGAGTTATTAGATTTATCAAACTAAGAATAAAATAGTAAATTCAGATTCTTCAATTAGTAATTTTAAAAATTCTTAATGCTTTGTGATTCCTTCATTTATGGTAAAGCTTCTCTACTGATATAGACTTATAATTTATATTTATGTTTTGTTTTTATTAATTGTTTTCGTATTTATTACAAAGTTTTTTTTATAGAAAACTACCATGTGTTATTTATGAAACTTAAATACAAAACTATTTTATTTTTATGTGGTTCAAACCAAGATAATCTTTGATCATAATTTAACTTAATGTGGTCAATAACGCTTTCCTCATGTACATAGTTACAATTCAGAATATCTTAAATTCTTGAGTACTATTCATCCAGAACAAAACAGGAAAATGTTAAAACGACTACATCTTTATGTTACGGAAAATCTGAAACAAAGAATTATAAGAAGAAATCTGCATAGACACATGCTCAAGCTCAAGGAGTCTTTGCACAATTAAAGCAATAAAAAGATCAATTTATGTGTCTTGTCACGTAGCTAGTGGACTGCTGACAACACGCAGGTCAGGGCAATCGTCACTGGTTCACTAGATGGTGTTCTTGACAGAAGGCTAATAATAATTATTACAGTTTGCAAAATTGACGTACAAATTTTTAAGAATATTATAAACGTAATAATGTATATTATATTGCTTCATGGGCAATAAAAACTAAAAAAATGTTAGTAGTCTTAGAAAATTACAATCTACTGACAATATAACCACAGTGTGGTCAAGATAATAATCTTGATCATAATTAAGTACATATCTAGAATCACACTTACCATATTTAGTGAATATATAGATAATTAGAATATAACATTCTAATAACTTAGCAAGAATTGTATACTTCCTGTATACAATTCTTGAATTAAATAGACCTCTAAATTGCAATATATATTACGTCCGTGATATGTTCATGGAATACAATTAGGTATAGTAGTTAGGTAAAGTATTTTAAATATGCATATTATTTATAAAGGAATCATAACTCACTTAACCTGTTTAACGCGTCATACTACTCTACAAAGGGCTTTGTGATTAGCCTTTATACAGCGTAGTTTTGAATTCATTGTTGATCTATATACTCCGGCTTCATCTCCGTTTTATCTTCTTATTTTTTATAAATAAGGTCCTAAGGTATTATATAACTAAATATTCTCAGTTATAGTACGTGGTGCTTCATAATATCCAGATTTTTGTAGTAATTAATGGAGCGAAATTTTTTTATGTAATTTAATGAAACTTTTTTGAGAAGGAAGTTTAAATTGTAAAGATATTGCAAGTACGCATTAATAAAATACTCGCTTGATTAAATTACTAAAACGATTCAAACTCTAAACTAGAACTTGAGTATACTCTATTGTCCAGTATTCTACTCAAGATTCTATTATATTCTACTCAACAGCCTACCTTAAGGTGAAGTAAAGCAAAAGTTTCAGCAAATGTCATCTACATTAGGTATTTTTACTGAATTATATTTCGATAATACTCAATTGAAGGACACCGCCGATTTTGGCGACCCCCCGCACGAACACGTACTGCTAATGGCCAATATTCGCCATGAACGGGCAACTGAATATTATGAGAGTCGATTGTTATTCTACTTACGTAACTACTTTAAATACAGTGGAGGTTAATAGGTCTTTCTCTAACACAAACACCAGAGCCCTTTAATGTCGTGTGTATATATTCCAGAGACGGCGATGGGAGTTAGCAAGACTACTCAAGATCAAAGCGGTTTTGAATACGCTATGGCTGTGATGAAAATGTGCGATATCCTTCATTTGAGACATACAAAAATTTGGTTACGGCCTGAGATACTTTTCAACTTCACACAATATGCTAAAAGTCAGGAAAAACTATTGAGTATTATTCATGGCTTAACGAAAAGGGTAAATCATTATTACATTTTTCACTTTATTTATATAAATAAAAATATTGTATAATAAGTATTAAATTTTGTAAGAGTTTCTTACAAATCAATCAAGTTCTAATATTTGAAGATTATTTTGTATTTTGTAAAATATAGGATTTTGAATAATATCATTATACTATTTACAGGTAATTAAAAAGAAGAAGGAAGAGTATAAAAATGGGAAAAAACCATCCTTACTTAATGAAATAACTGCTACTACAAATGGTGCTAATGGGGTACATGATGCCCTGCCTAATAAAACAACATCAGTTGAAGGCTTATCATTTGGTCAGTCATCTGGTCTCAAAGATGACTTGGACGTTGAGGATAATGATGTTGGTCAAAAGAAGCGTTTAGCGTTCCTAGATTTACTCTTAGAAAGTTCACAAAATGGAGTTGTTCTTTCTGACGATGAAATAAAAGAACAAGTGGATACAATTATGTTTGAGGTAAATATTATACAAATGAAAGCTAAATATGTCTTCTGTATATTGTTATGAGTCTACATATTAATATGAATAATCTATAATTTTAGGGTCACGATACTACTGCTGCCGGTAGCAGCTTTTTCTTGTCGATGATGGGTATACACCAAGATATTCAAGATAAAGTAATAGAAGAATTGGACCAGATCTTCGGAGATTCAGATCGCCCTGTAACTTTCCAAGATACTTTAGAAATGAAATATTTGGAAAGGTGTTTGATGGAGACACTCAGAATGTATCCGCCAGTTCCAATAATTGCTCGTGAACTCAAACAAGATGTTCCTCTAGGTGATTTTATATGAATATTTAAGCCGTTAATAAAACTTAGTCTTGATTTTTTTTACTTGACTAACAATTTCATATGTTTTGTTATCATAGCATCCTGTGACAAGAAAATTCCTGCAGGTGCTACTGTGGTAGTCACAACATTCAAGTTACATCGTCGACCAGATATTTATCCTAATCCTGATAAATTTAATCCGGACAACTTTTTACCTGAGCGATCTGCTGACCGTCATTATTATGCATTTGTACCTTTTTCTGCCGGACCTAGAAGTTGCGTGGGTAAGTCATTTAATAAATAATAAGTACGCACAGTACAGTACAGTATATATGCACCTATGCCTTTTTGCGTAATGTATGTACAATATGGCCACAGTACCACGGCCCTTCTTCGGCATCGCGTATCTATATTTTATTTATTTGATAATTGTTTGTTTGTTTACTATTCTTAAATAACTTAACAAATTACTCGTGTAATTTACCGTACACCTACAATATACTTACATAGTATTTGATATGGAAAAGGATAATTTTTATTCCAGCCAATCAATATGTCGCGACGATATTAGAGGGCATTAATTAGTCCCAAATAAAATATGTTTTGGTACATATTTTCATTTAAAGACAACTAAAAGCTATGACTATATTTAATTACAATATTTTGCGTATTAGTTTTAAATATATTACTATGATGACTCTTTAAAATAACTGAGTTATTGATAAAAAATATTATAAAGTTAATGTGCTCCTAATAAAAGTTTTCTTTCTTTAATCAGGTAGAAAATATGCCATGTTGAAGCTGAAAATTATTCTATCAACTATACTCAGAAATTTCCGAGTCTACTCCGACTTGAAAGAGGAAGACTTCCAATTACAAGCCGACATTATTTTGAAACGTGCTGAGGGCTTTAAAGTTAAACTCGCGCCCCGCAAGAGGTCTGCCAAAGCTTCTTAACGTAAAGTACTCTTTATTGTCTCATTTTTCTGAAAGCACTTCTAATCATAAATTTTATTTGTGATGCCAGTACTGATTAAGATTAGGTATTGTTACTATTATATAATTATAAAGGGCAGAACATGATGTTTTGTCTTACATGGTTCAGTTGGTGAAAGTTTTGTACATAAATATTTTTGTGTTTTTGAATAAGATATGAAAATAAACGTCTATAAATGTAACGGTTTTTATTTTTATATATTGTATTAGAAATATTACATCTAATTGAATTTTCCATTTATTTAATTCTATTTGTGTGATGCCAATATTACATCAGATAAAAAAATAACATTATTTAAATATATAGAATATGCAAACGAAAAAAAACAGTATAAATTTCGTATACTAAAGTAATACTGTTTTTAAAGTCATTGGTAGTAATGTATGCAGTGCACGTCTAATTTGGCACTATGCAATTTTCTGATAGCTACTTCGAAGCATACGGATATCTTCGACAGTGCTCATCCTACCAAGCATTGCATTTGTTTCCGAATGTTCTAATTGAATTTTCTCCAATATTAGTGCTTCCTTTACCTCCAATTGAATTCTACGGGAAAATGAATTGATTAAGTTTTTAATAGTTTAAAATAAAGAAATACCTGAATGAAGGTAACGTTTTAATTTTTGTTTATTTACTTCAATAATTTATTCTGTAACTATGCAATTAAGTCAATCAAATAAATATATAGCATAACAGCATAATTTGTAAATATACAAATTTAATTTAATCACAATATGTATTTTTGTATGATTAGATTGATGAATAAGTGTACGGCTCATTCGATAAAAAGCTAGCTTATTTATCAAAGAAGAAAACTACATACAGAAAATATAAATTATGTCTATTTTTAAATAACTTTGCTTACAAAAGAATTGAAACTTTAATATAATTATTACCCATTCTATCGTCATATACGTACGTTCGGTTCGTATACGTACGGTTTACTGTACCTAATAATATGTCATATGTTATACCAAAATCTTAGTGGAAGCAGAAATGTCATGCATTTGTGATGATCACAGTTTCCACCGTGATTTTGGACAAAATAACTATTCTTTAATATTAACTACTACAAAGAAGATTCTTTGTAGTAGTTATTATAATTATTCTCCAAATATATCATAATACCTACCGACATTTATAGTACATTAAATACAAAACGTAACGCAATTTATGATGACATACCTAAGAGCATCCAATGGAGTTCTATGGTGAATAGGACAAAGACAGGGTAGTAAGTCGTGGTGTCCCCTCTTTACCCACCAGCCCACTTTAGATAGTTTCCAGTCTATTGTTTTTGTTTGCGCTATTGAACAGGTTCCTGCTTCTCTTATAAGGTTGAAATACTCGGCCATCAGTTCTTGACCTTGGTATCATATATATTTTACTATTTACCTTGTTTCAACCGTAGTATTTAATTGTAAATATATTATTTATTTATATTTTATAAGTTTTATAAGTTTATATTATATAAGTGATCTGTCATGAAAATAGACTTGGTAAGTACTTTTCTTATATTATATTTCTATGCTTTCTATGCTATTTCTTTTTTATCTTAACACATATTGATATATTATTCACTTCACCCATGACGACTGTCCTCGCAACACAATTCAAATTCACGTCGTGAAAATAAGGAACTACCAACTACCACTAAGTATATTAAAAAGTAAGACAAATAACAAATGGTATTACTTTTGCATTTATAATATAAAACGATTTAAGGACTGTTGATTTTTCAATTTAATTACTGTAAAATATGCTGTCTCTATTTGAAAATTACATCGTACTGATTTCGTTAATTTTCCAAGTAACACTACAATGTATAGTCTATATTTATTTAGATGATAATGTTAATTATATTTTCTGCACGTACATGACCAAGCATATAATTTAAAAGTCATGCATATTATTAGTATGACAATTATAATTTCAAATTGTTGCAGTAATAATGTATATAAATATGTATGTATGAATTAAGACACGTGTTCTATATTATATGTAATTATATATTTTTTTATTTAATGTACATTAACGTACATTTAATTAAATTTAATGTATTACATATTACATAGTATACACGGAAGAACTTGGAGAGTTTTAAAAATCTCAAAGACTGTACAAGTAGAAACTTACGCAATAAAAATAAGCAAATTTTACCTATATGCCTTCTGCACAAAATCAGTAATTCATTCTACGGTAATTGCGTAAGAATTTATAATAAACTACCAGAATCTGCACTAAATCTGACAGAGAGGCAATTCAAATCTTATATTAAACAAATTTTGTGTAAGAAAGCCTATTACAGGATATACGAATTCATAGATGACAACAATCAAGTAAATAATTAGTTTATTAGCATACAACGTTATAATTTATTTTTTTCATTGTTTTCTTGATTTAATTATTTTAGAAATATGAAAGCGTAGCGGTTTTGTATTGATTGCCGCATGCATTCTTATGTAAAATTTGAATACTATAACTATCAGATGGCAATTGTAAGTAGCTTTGATGTGGTCTAGTGTTTCGAGTAGTCATGCTCATTAAAATGTCCAAACTTGTGGCGACGTGGTGGGCCGGGTCATTGCGTTCCCTAAAATATGGTCGAGCGCAGTGATGACTGGCTCATCCGTCATACTCGTGAATGGGTGCTGCTTGTAGGGACTGGTCTGCTCTAATCACTATGACTGATTTCCTCTTATTAATTGTTTAACCAGTTGGTTATATATTCAATATTTTTTCTATTTGAGTATTTAATTGAATTAGTGCTAATTGGTGGTTTGTATTCACACACTTAAACTTAAAAATGTAAAGTAATAATAAAATTATTTAAAAGAGCAACACGCAAGTTTCTTGCTCGTTCTTCTTGTGATGACACAGCTTTCCGAATGAGCGGTAGTTTAAAAAAATGTAATGACTATTCAAAAGTGCTTCAATGTAAGTTTATTTGAATAAATGATTTTCTATTCTATTTACAAAAATATGTATATATCCATTGTTCTTTAATACCTACTCATAGTATACTCAGCACACTTTGATCTCTTCCGATCGATCCCCTATCTCTTTCAAATGGGCATCGAAATTACGATAGCCTCAATCGGAGCTCGATTCTCTAGTGGTAACCTCAGATTAAAGCCGCATCAGTCAAGCAAGAGTTCAGCCGGTCTATACTCTCGCCTTCTACACTCAAACCCATTTTATATGTAGGTATAGTTTGAAAAAAGCTACTTTTGGATAAAACAGTATTGATATTTATTTACAATTTTACTAAAAATTCTTACCTGCTGATATTGCCATCATAAGTCGTGACTGTTCTGCTTCTTCTTCATATATCTCACTTTTATGAGTCTGGTATATAAAGACTCCCTCAGTTTTAGTATTAATATTCATATCAAATACAGAGTTTGACTGTAATTAAATACATCGTTATAGTAGTTTTATAAATTTACAATTTAGTACATAAATAAATAACAATAATCCTCAACAATTTACACAGTGCCATCTAGTCCTAAGTTAAGAAGAATTTGCACTACTGACCTGACCTCATGCTTATCTAATCATGTTCCACGCTACCTCTTTAGCGTATACTGTTAGCACAGACAAGTACACTATTTCATATTCATCTATAACAAAATAAATACAAACAGTAGTGCCCGTAAATACATATCATTGTATTGCAGAAGTTGGTACCGGTATTATAGGAAAACAGTATTAGGAATCGTTACATGTCTGAGATCGTCTGAAATTCGTGAGCGACGTATATCATTCTGGTCTGGGTGTTTTCTATGTATAGTATGTATGTATTTACAAAAAAATATCTAAGTATTTATATCAGTTGTCTAGTACCCATAACACAAGTTCTGCTTACCGTAGGACATTATTTACGTGGCGCTGTGGTTATTATTCAGGGTTATTTATTATTATTATCTTTAAGTAGTATCGGAAGACAAACTTATTGTACAAAGACCAAAATTATTGTACCTACATAAATATACCATGCAACTATAATCCCTTATAACAATCATTATTAACGAAGAGGAAAACTTAAAAATTATATGCGACAATGATGTTTGACAAGACTGTATGCAGTTGTTATTATAATGAGAGATCGTTTATGTATGTTGAAGATACATGTTATATGAATTTAAATCCAATAAGTTGTCTCACAAAAACAATATCATTAAATGACTAATGTTAAATCTAGACAGGTTCCAAGTACGATAGCTAAGACTCGATATGATTTCCCCGTACAACCCGAATTTTTATACTCATATTGTCCCTACAAGTTCTTCCGAAAACTTTCAACCTTTTATATCTTTTAAGGAACTTTTGCCGCGGCTTACGTCTGAAATCCGTTATATCTAGGCTCGTGGGAATTTCTGAAAATCCTTTATCCGATGACCATATCACACAAATAACTTTAGTATACTAATTTAATATAACATTCACGTATACGTCATGACTGCTCCTCATGAAATTTTGTGTGTATATTCAGTAGGTCTAAAAATAGAACGTAAACTATATTTCATACCCCTAAGTAAAAAGATGGACCAATGTATTTTTTATTCAAACTTTAATATACTAGTAGCCGTAAAATAGTGATACTATTAAGTGGTATTTTGTGTACTTCTATAGTTTTATGTTTTATGATATAACCAATTCTTGGCTTGTAGTATAGTAAGTTTAATCTTAGGAATAGTAGTAGTTGAATATAATGGTCATACTTTATGGAAACCAAAACCCATGAAACAAGCGAAGGCTTCAGATAAATATTGTGTGCCAAGTTCCGGCCGTTCTCTCTTAAGATGCAGTTCTCCAAGGAGATGCAAAGCTCTTCCCAACTGTCGTCTGAGATTATGTTCCATCGCCAAGGCGCCCATTTCTGTTAACAACTTCGCTGCTTTCTCATGCTCGCCTAATCTGTAAAGGGAATACTTAGTACCTACTCCAATTGAATATCTAGTAGAATTGTAAAAATAATAATTTTAAGTAAACACCAAACTAAAATTTCTAATAAAACATTAAGTTTAGTTAAGAACTATGTCGACCGCGTCATCCATCCATCCTTCTTCTTCATCGTCCTTTTTTTGGTGTGAACCAAAAAGAAGGATGGATGGGATAAAAAGGGTGATAAATAAATATTTAGTATATTAATAATTAACCCTAGTTAAATTAACGTTACAAACTTAACGTGCATCAGTAAAAAGATGTACATATACTACGAGTACAAACCTCTGCATTACAGCGGCTAGGTGCATTCTTGTTTCACATAAACCTTCAATATTGTTACTCTCCGTATGAATCTTATATGCTCTGTCGAAAGTTTTCTGGGCATTATTCAGGTTATTCATCATTAATTGACAAATACCTATCTCGATGATGGCTTCAGCTGTTTTGCTCGTTTGTTTAGCTGGAAACAAAACGAAACCTAATGTTACGTATAGTATTATACGAAAGTTTACTTTATAAAAGCCATTGACTTGGGTGCCTCATTTTCATAAATTTCTGCGCCACATAGCTTGCCTTGTAAGATAAGTTTCGGTTGAAGACAGTAAAATTACAGATTAAGAGGCATTCCATCTTAGTCCCCCGCACGGGCGCTGTCAGGACGTCATATGATAATGTAGTTCGCAGATCCTCCTTTTAGTTCGTTTGATAAAATACTATTAATAATGTGTTCTTATATAACACATATTTCCAGGTTAAAATAATACAAAGAACGTACTACATGTACCACATGAACAACATATGGCTTAACAATCCCTCCTCACTGGATCTGATGTCTGTAGTCATGTTCATGAGTATCGCGATGGTTATCACTTACAATCAGGTGATCTATTGACTAGTTTCCAATTCCATTTATTTAAAAGTAATATAGAATTTATTACTCTGATTTTTATATGAGCTCGGTAAAACGCAGCTCGGTAACCTGTGCTCCTAAAGTTAATAGATATATCGGTCAGGATATATTTATTTCTATAAATGTAGAAAAATTTATTATTACAACTTTTAACGTATTACTTCGTTAAAAGTTACATGTTTTAAATTTATGTTAATATTGTTTCAGTTCATTTTAACTATTCTATAGGTGCAAGTATCTACTTAATAATTATGTACGCCAATATAAGCTGATACCAGAGGCATAAATAAGTGAGCCTTTATAATTTAAGCCCAAGGGATTTCGTTAGTGTTGAGGTTGTAGTTGATAATATTATGATTATTGTGCCTTTAGATAACAAAGTCGACAAAGCTGATTAGCTTTCAATCACAGCTATAAACAGCTGACTTCTCAAATATTTATCTAATTATTAACATCTCACAGCGCCTTTCACTTAAGTATGATTACTGTGAAAATAATTATTTTTTAATAGAAATATTAGCCTTTATTTTTCTATCAAGTGAAATAATTTTCATAATAAGTTAACTATAACTATAGTTTCATTTTATACATTTTACTATTTTTTTTATTGATTGATACTATAGAATAAAAAAAAATATCAACCATCGTTTGCTCTTCTTTCAGCTAGTCGTGAAAGCCTCTCAGCTTTGGCTGGATCAATCTTTCTGACTGCTCTGGCTTTACTTAATAATACTCTATGCAATTGTAAGGCAGTGGCTGAAAATACAGTATCTGATGGCACTTCATCACCCTCATTTTCAGCTTCGTACAGTAACCAGTTCTACAAATAAATAACATTAAATTAATCTTGTTTTAGATTTTTGTCGTCTTCAATGGATGACTACTACGCCAAGTGACGGTCACGGATTCGATTCCCCCACAATAGACTTTACATTTATTGGTTTGATTTTCTCTATTGGTTTAGGTGTTTTCCATGTTCAGGTAATATGTATGTAATTGAAGTCGACTTTGTTTGGGATTAGATGGCGATGTATAAAATATCGTCCGTTGTAACTACTAATAATATTATAACTGTTCGTATATTTAAATATATTAATACAAATAAGATATCAGTAGATAAGTAATATACTAGGTACCTAATCGGTTATTTTAAAAACCTATTTCGTTATACAACATCCTATTTGCATTCCTCAAATATCTATATTCTACAGAGTAGCGTCAAGATTACCGCAACCTCATCAGTACCTAACTGCCAAAACCTTTTACCCTCTAATTAGGAGAAAAGTCCCTAAAAATAAAGGACAAAGACCTCACGTAGTAAAAGTTTATAGTCACCGAAGATTTAAAAGAAAGTTAGTATGGGAAATAAAATTAGGTTTAGTGGAAAATGTATTAAGACAATGAAAGTTAAATAAATACATTTTATGTTATATCCATGTCTGTTCTAGAATACTAAATATTGATTAATTGCATCAACATTAATTATTTAGTAATTTTTGTTATGGATAGGTACTAAAGATCTGAAAAAATATTTTATATAGACTCTATCCAGAAAATATCCAGGTCAATACAAAGAGATATACCTACGCAGGAATGCATACGTACAACTATTAAACTACGCGTTTAGTTGAGACACGAGCTCACCAAGGCTAGTACAACCTAGTCGCAACGTCATAGATAGGTATACCTTATTTACCATAACATAATTCTTAATTATATTAATAACTAGTTATACCCGCAACTTCGTCCGCGTGCAATTTAACTTTATTTTTCTAAAATAAAAGAAGCCTAAGTTACTCCTTATTACATCAGCTACCTACCAAAAAAACTCCCAACGAACTCGGTCCAGTCTTTTTAGAGATTAGTTGGAACAAACAGACAGACAGACAGACAAAAATGTTAAAAAATGTTATTTTGGTGTATAAATAACATTTTTTATTACATACGCATGTAATAAAAAATGGTTATTTCAAATTTAAAAAATCGACACTCCAATTTTATTTATATGTATAGATAATGAAGTGAGAGAATGCTGAAGTCGACGAATAATGACTCATATTAACACTTAAGTGTGGTAGTTGGAACAAACAGACAGACAGACAGACAAAAATGTTAAAAAATGTTATTTATACACCAAAATAACATTTTTTAACATTTTTGTCTGTCTGTCTTTGACTTAAGTGGGGATATTTTGAGGTATTACAATAACTATAATTACTTAATACATACCTTCCCAATTGCACTATCTCTGACTTCGGTTAATATTACAAATGGTTCTTCTGGATCTGCTTCTGCAACTAAAGATAAAGTAAAACTAACAGGTTGATGTATAAATATGTTACATCGTTGTTACATAAATATAGTTATCTAGTACTTAAAAGCAGGTTTAATATATCTACTATATATATTATACTATTTTATTTTTATAGATACTATTTTTATATATAGTAGATATAACAACAAACGGGTTAGATGTACATAAATAGTGACATTATTATTTTCATAAACTATCTATCACTCATGCCCAACTCGATCTGTAATTTCATTTTAATGGTAATATTATTCAAAAGTTATAATAAAAAAATATATTCAAGTGAAATCATCATCATTCCAATAACCATGACTCTTTTACATAACTCGATTATTAATTTGAACTCAATCTCATACATGTCATATTTATTAGGAAAGCAAGTGTACTAGTGATGGAATATAAGAAACTTTAAAAATACAGGATGCAAATACCTACTAACATTTGTCAAGTAAAAATTTTGCGTAATGATATTTGCAGCATCCTTTCTGACGTCCGCCATCTATTAGGTATTGGCTCGATACAGCAATGGACGCTAAATAGAACTTCTCGGCCAGCCACAAAATACCTTTTCCTTGTTCTGCATAATACATGGCCAAGCTAAGAAGTTCTAGGCATTCTTTTTTTGTATTTCCTGGAAATGGCACAAAAAATGTCTTGTAGTGTTATATAATCGTTGGTCGACAGTTGGGACCAATGTAAATATTGGAGTAAATTTTCAAATATTTGTTCCGAATGGTCCTTGGTATAAATAAACACATTCCGTGTGTCTTAAGGCATAGCAAGCTGTGGTTGATTCCGTCCATTGGTTGTCATTACTATTAAATTTATTGCATGAAAACAATACATTATACTCTACTGTAGGAGTAATAGAAATATTATAAGTACTATATGATATTATATGAGTTTGTGATGTGGCCTTTACATTAGTCTCACCTTTACATATTGTTACTGATATATGTACGTACTGACTTTGAAAATAACCCCTGAAATGGCTGTATGACCATCTGATGGACGTCTACTCTAACTAACTACGTCATGATTATTAGGAATCTCTTAAATCACAACATTTATTGTGATGTCTACAGAATATTGTTATTTTTGAATAATAGTGTATTATGCTCGTACATGTAATTTCATTATCATTTTACTCTTTAAACTGAAAAATAGTAATTTCTCATTAGAAATAAGCAAGAAAATACACACGTAGACGATTTTATACAAAGACGGGCTCTAGTATACAAACATTGAAATTTCATTATCAGAATCTTTTACAAACTCTATGTCATTCACAATTTTCCTAGAATCTGAACTAAACTTACGTATATGTTACAGTAATAAATTTCTTAGGAACATAAATCCATTCCATTTCTCTTTGTTTGATAACATTGGGGTGAGCGGTGTAATGTTTCTTATATGGATATTGTATTACTTGTCATATATTTAGTTACATAGAATTGGAAATCAATTTGGAATTACGAATAATATATCAAATGAACATTTTATAATAAAGGATTGTAACATGTAAATAAGGTATATTTTTTTACACAGTCGTGAAGATTCATGACTATTATTCCAGATGGGACAGTCAGAGTCATATTGCTAACTATTAGTATTATGGTTACATGCTACATTTAGCTAATACATATTTATAATCCAATCTGACAGTTTGTTACCAATGTTTCCACCATCATCAAATATTTGATGTACAGAATTAAATTCACTACCTTTGGGGTCGATGTCAAAAACCATTAGACGTAATCTAATATAATGATTTTTGACATGGTCTCAAACAATCTAAAAGTACAATACTATTATATTATTAAATAATAAAATATGTTGTACCTTTATCCCTTTGTTTTTCAGCCTTTTGTAGAACATTCGAAATGTGGTGTAGATATTCAAAATTTTTTCTCAGGTCAACAACAATACCTATATCATCTTCTGCCAGTAACTGCATATTGTCATAAATAAGGTCTTGTAAGTAATCGGACGATTCAATGTAGCCCGCTTCTTTTAGTTCTAATATTAAACATTCGTGTAAAGGTAACTTTCGTCTGTAATTAAGTTACTTACTTTTTGAAGTCAGTAAAAATTTGGACTACAAAAGATTAATCTAGGACTCGTTCACTTGGTCTAAATTCATCCGGAGTCAAATCTCTGCGATTGATCTTCAATCGAATATATATATATGTACATGCATAGATACATTAAGATGCATACTAGATAGTATTCATTTATGTGAGTGCAGAAACTAACCTTCGTATTCCCTTTGCGTCAAGGACGTCTAAACCAAAAAGTGCTTTATTTCTCATATTCTCCAAACTAGTTTTCGTCATGCATGCCATAAGTTTTGGCAATTGTCGTCGTTTTGGGAATACGCCTTCGAATGTCATTTTGGACTTTGTAACTACCCAACTTTAACCACAAAAAACCTTTTACAAAATACTAAATATAATTACGTAAAATTTCTTGTTTATATTACTTTTGACAGAAGTATGCATTTTTTTATTTAACAAACATGCCAGTTATTTTTACTGTATTAAATTGAACACATAAAAATTTAGTGACGAATTTTTTTATTGCATTAAAATATGTATAAAACTCCGTACTGTGTGTACATGCCGGACATCTATATCTAATATTAAAAAGTTTATTAGTGGAGATGAGAAATAAAATTGTTAAAAGATTTATATAGTAGATAATAATAATTTAGTTAATTCTTCTCCTGAATAGTAATCGAACGTCATCTTCAATGTCATTTTCTCAAATTAAAATGAAGTGAACGTTTATAAAGTTGTATACTAAGATGCCAAATATTAATAACTTACTTAATCTTTTCATTCTTTTAATTATTTTAATCTGCAAATTCACAGTGGATATAAATTCAAAAAGCGAATTTGAAATGATAAAAGAATGATGGAACTTACACTATATTCCCAATCCCCTTATTATTAAGCTACCCTGTCCCTAGACACACCCTTCGAGTTTTCCAATCACAATTTTATACCTAACACTTGACATCACTCCGGAGACGTATTTGAAAAGTTATTTTAGCAGTTATTCTCAGAAGTACAGTTGAAAATTTCTGTTATTGAACAAATATGTAACAAAAAACAAGTGTACGGTTTTCGAACGGGTGCATCACAAATCTTTGTATTGTTTTACTTTTCGGCATATTATACAATTATACATATAAATATAAATATTCGTCTTGAATCTCTCTATTTATTGCTGAAAACTGCATTAAAATAATTGGGTGATTTAAAAGATCTTACCATACAGCCAGCGACAGGGAGCATGTAAAGATTGGTTTTTGTAAAAATCAATTATTCCGTATTCTATATTTAATTATTTTATTAATAATTATGATTTAATAGTTTTATTAGCTAATTTAGCCCTTACCATAACTTTAAACCTAATATATTACTGATTTTATATGTCTACTAGTTACCTATAATAATAATGTTGTAATTATTATTATTAAAGTATAAGTTATAATAATGTACCGCCAATTTCGATAACTGAGTTATTGGGATCAGCAGATCATTTCACCTTTATATCAACAAAACATAAATATTACCAATATTATGAATGGTCTGTTATCTGAATCTTGTTATTTTTTATGAGCCATCTTGTTAAAGTTTATTGATGCACCCTTGCCAAGTTCCTAGTGGATCATTATTGCCAAATATACTGTCCTATTTTCACAAAAAATAGTTTGACGCAAAGCATTTTTATTATAATAAGTGCCTATAACGTTTCATGTTTATGGAGGTAGTCATATTTCATAGCAAAATAAAAAAACGTTTTTCTGTAATGATAATGTTAAGGTTGAAATTTATACTGTAACAAAAATGAACTGCTTCATTTATCTATAATGTTCCACAACGTCTTCAAAATTTATGTACGTAAATGATAGAAATGATATTGTAATAATTCAGAAATTTCAATAGACGAAAAATTATATAGGTGAAATTAATATGGCACTAACTCTATCAATTCTAAAAAGGTACATGACTTGAGTCCAATCTCCAAGAAAAATATAAACACAACCGTCAACACCTACCTGACCACTCAGAGTGGTTGGTAAAGAGAACAGCATTGTAACACGCGGAGTGAGGTGAATTGCGAAACACAATATTAATGGAAATAGTGCATTACTCTGGCCCTGTGTCCATTCAATATTTTGAAAATTAACACAAGTAAAATCACCATAAATTTTAAGGAACTATTAGATTTATTCTACATTTACTAAAATCTAAAATTTATTTAATTATTACAGTTATTTCAAGTTGTTTCATAAAAGAAATAGTAATGGAAATCTATAAAAGCACGAAAACATAATTAATTTGTGTATCGCAGGCTCTTATAAACTATATCCAAACTTTCTCAGTGATTGTGGTTCATTAAGCTCGTATTCAATGACAATCTAGTACAAATTGATGTTATTTATGTAAAGGGAAGTTTACATCGAGAGCGGTTTATGTATTGCCAGAAAATGTCCCTGTATGTACCTACTTAAAGATTAATAATTAAAATTACTATTTATTTTCTGACGATCATAAATTATATGATTGATAAGAGATAGTCCTGGCTCTAAAGTACCAGTATAAGGCAGTAATTATGAATGAAAATGATTACTAATGACTAACTCTTCAGTGACAGTAAACACTTTCAAGGAATATTGACACATTTTGCTATACAATATGATAATACAAATGACTATATTTGATTTAACGTTACAGTCGATGAGTCAACAGTTGTTTTTAGTGTGAATTAAGTTTGTTAACGATGAAGACGATATAAGAATAATAGAATAGATTACTGTACAGTTTTGTTGTCATCTACGTTTGAACTTGCAACCATAAGATCTTATTTATGGGTTGAGCTCTCAGGGTAGTAAATCACTGGATTGCGACCTATGTAACTACACAAATCCACAATGCCGCTGGGACGTTATAACTATAAGGGTTATTTGTCTACGCAGCAGTGCTTTTGGACCGTAGCTATTGTAAGAAATAAATTTAAATTCAATAAGCTTTAGTTAAAATCTGATTTAAATGTTAATGGCAATTTCTTTTGAAATTCAGTCATTTTCATTTTATACATTTTACTAATATTTCATTATTATCAAATTACGTCATAACAACTATTAAATTACGTCCTTAAATTACTTTAATCGTACGTTATTGGATTAGCTCAGATTTAAGAAATTGTTTCGGTTGATCAATTTTTAGGACTTTTGCCTTTGCTTATATATAAATAGATGAAAACATTTTCTTTACATTTTTACGAGACTTTCATTTGTACATTTCATGCCATTTTGATGTTCATGTTTATTTTTGTAAGTCTAAATACGTCCGGTGTGAACGTTCAATACTGAAATAGAGTCGTCGCAACTCGCATTGTATACTTAACTATGTTATCTTAATTACGACAATTCTCCGAAATTACAGTTGCAAGTCACTCGGAGACGCGTCTCGAGAGTCTCTTTTAAATGATTCGTCTTAAATCTTAAAACATTGTAAGTCTTCCTCCTTTTAGAGTGGAAGCGAATACATTTAGAAGTTTACTGTTTTAAACATTGCTAATATAACAGACCAACAATTTCAAATTTCTAATATTAATTAAGATTTATAAATTGTTTTCAAATATTCTAATCATCATCATAATTTAATATCAATTCCTCCTGTTAGTCAAGAGGTAATTTTTAAATTATTACAATTGAAATAAATTGTTGTCAACAAAGTGTTAATTACACGAAGTCAATATAACTTAAATATATTCATTAAATCATTATCTACTATATTATTACCGTAGACTACTGGTGTTGTACAAGTATTATAATAACGGATGTTATATAATAGATACGCAGGTTACCTACAATTCCAGTGTCTACATGACGCCATAGACTATAGTTTGCGTCACACCGCCTGCTTCTCATCTTGATGATCGGCATGCAATAAATAGTGGTCATAAATAATAAATATAATTAGATATCTATGGCAGTATATATAAGATATTGCAAAGATAGTAAACCTAGTATAAAAGTGCAATGGAGTTAGCAGACTACCTTTACTCTTAATATATTGAAACAAAACTAAAATGGAGCAAAATACTGTCTTTTTTATATAAATATCTAAGCTATTAAATCATAATATAAATTTAATTAGATTATATTACGAGTATGTAAAGTTATGCCTGGCTATCAGAGCACTAGTTTAAATAAAAGTTATGTTTAGATAAAGTCGCAATATTATTGAAAACATTATAAAATATGCCTTGTTGCAAGGGCATGAAGTCATAGATAAAATTTAATTTAATATATGAACGTAATAACTCATTTAACAAGAAACTTGTCTGTTTCGAAGGCAGTCAATCATAATAAATATTAGTAACTACTAACTAGATAATATATAGTACAAAACAATGTATCCGCTTCGGTATAATGCTAAAAACCTTGAGAGAACGCCATAAACTTATGTGAACTGAATATTGAATAACCTAAACAAAAACATAACATAATTATTACGCTGTCATTGAACACCTGCTTCAAGGAGTAACGTCAAATCTGTATAAAACAGAATATAAAGGAGGAAAGGGATTGTTAATAATGGGGAATGGGGCCTACATTTGTATCAATATAAGGTAGATTGTAACGCAGTTCACCTTGGAATTATCACGGTTAATTCCTGGTGATCTCGCCACGATAGGCTATTTAACTTGACTCTATGTTCGTCCTATCATCCTCTATTGATGTCTCATCAACGTTCGATATACGCAAAGCAGATCGGTGCAGTATTCTATTATCATCCAATAAAAAACGCCATGACAAATTTGCATTGTCCCCAGCTAAGCAGAGCGTGTGTTATTGGTGACTAGAAAACTGATACAAGTAGATAGATTATTGTTTTTGTTTCGCTAGACCACCGAGGCAGTCAAAATTTTATGTTTAGTTTTATTTACATATATACTGTAATTATTACTGGCAGAATTATATTGTGATACAGGACCATAATTAATTATAATTCTGCCAGCAAATATATCAAACTTTGTAGGGTGTAACTTTGAAGAACTCTGTTAGCAACATCTGTCTATCGTCATTATAATCATTTCACATCCATGGCATAAACTACATTGGAATATTTTTCTACTTACTCATTTTTCATATACCTACATTTGTTCAATTATACAATTTTTATATACTGTAACAAGAATTAATTCTAAAGATTTGATAACAGTTTAAATACAATTTCAAAAAGTTATAAAGCTATATTTAGTAGAAAGTAAAGTTTTATGCCATTTACTTATTAGTGTATGAAAAGTAAAGTATTTTATTACTCGTGTCCAGTGCTGTACTTTTCAAATTTACGTTTATAGGGGAAAGACAGCGTACATTGGCACGGCGCCAGTCCGCTGTCATGGCGACGCTATCAATTTCTATATAGTAACTACTTTAATCACTAGTATTA